TGCTCTACAAACATGAAGAACCAATCTAGATCTTCTTAGCTTACACATTAAAAAAAAAAAAAAAAAAGCCAGCAAATCTACAAGCTCCAGATTCAGAGAGAGACCCGTAGCAATCAATCAGTAAATTAATTAATTTTAAAAAGCTAAAGATCAACTGAGGAAGATATCTGTTATTAATCTCTGGCATCTGTACACAGTTACACAGACACCTGTATGCATTCCAGAGGCACACACGCACACATACACACACACACACACACACACACACACACACACACACACACACACTCACATAAGCAAAGATCACAGAAAGAGAGAGGGGAGTGGGGGCCTGATGGAAGTAGATTATGGGCTTACACTTAAGGAAGAGCAAAGTGACTGGACAAGAGCTGCAGAGAAAGCTTCCAGGCACTGCTCTGAGCAGCAGCATTTGGTTATGCATCTGGGAGAGCAGGTAACTGAAGCAAAGCCCGGGCAGTGGAGTGGCTGGAAGCCTCTGCATAGCAGAGGAAACACCAGAGCTGAGAGACGGACTGTGTAACTGGGCACATTTTCAAACTATGGATCTGATAAGGATTTATTGTTTAAATATATGAAAAGCTCAATTCAAGGGCCAATTACAAATCATCAAGAGCTAAAACACTTTGCAAAGGAGACACAAAGGTGACTACCAGGTAGCCGGAAAGTTACTGGACTAGACTGGTCAGGGGATGCAAATGAGAACCACAGTGAGCTCTCACCTCAAGCCTCTGTCACAGCTGTGAAGGCAAAACAAGCCAGTTAGAAAAACAGAAAAGTAGAAAGAAGGTTGCCGAAGGGCTACAGGGAAGGGAGAATTCACATTTCATGAGTGTAGAGTTTCAATTTTGCCAAACGAAGATGTTCTGAGATCTACTGCACACAAACGTGACGTGCTTAACACTGTCAAATTGTGCATTTCAAAAATTGTTATGGTGCAAACCAGGGGGCTCTGTGTCTACATCTGTTTCTTGTGCCTTTTCTTGGGCTCCTTTCCTTCTGTTTATTTGTTTTGTTCTATTCCAGTGTGTTTGTTTTTGTTTTATCTTAATATATTATATTATTGTGTTATGTTTATTATATAACCATCCCTTAGGTGCCTGTTTGTTTTCTAACGAGAGATATAAGGGGGCAGATCCAGGTGGAAGGGGAGGTAGGAGGAACTGGAAAGAGTGGAGGGAGGGGAAACTGTAATCAGGATAGATTATATGAAAAAAAAACCAACAACCTTATTTTCAACAAAAGAAAAAAAATAGGACTGTAATTTAATGTTAGCTATCACTGTTAGCTGTACAAGGTGTTATTTCTAAAACCCAAAGGTACAAGTCAGCTATGTGTCTGCTCATATTTCTCACTATGTGCTAATAAATATATGGGAGTTCCAGCCTAACTTACAATTTTAAAGTCATTGTGACTCACAAGTACTGTGGAATAAAAACATGATAGAGAAAGCATTAAACAAATGTCCAAAGACGTTACGTTGAATTTATCATTTTTGTTTAAGAAGACAGTTAACGATGCACTTGTAGGGACACAATTTTGTGCCAGATGAAATCAAAGTGAGAATGATTAGATACACCTTGGTGCGACAATCTCAGTTGGTTCCTGGGTGAATTTCATTCTATTTTGCCTGGCATCAAGATTTCAGTGTACATGGCTCATTAGTGCTTTGTAGGCACTTCTATAATGGCAATTTATTACACTTGCAGGTGACAGAAGCTGCCCTTTGAAGAATTGCTTTCTGACCTCCTCTTTCAACCCACAACACCTGCTGAATGGGATGGCCTGCGCTTTTTTCTCAGTCCCCATACAGACGCTAGGAGTTTTTTTGTGTGCAGGAGGGCAGTGCTGAAAAGCGTTGGCAGGAAGGCTTTTGCAGCAGCCTGCCTGTCGAACTGCATGGATCAACAATTTCTCAATTAGAAGAAGATAGACGAGAAGATAAAGTATTTGGTGACTGCGAAGCTTCAGCAGCAGCTGAGAAAGATTGGAGGAACATCTGGTCCGAATCTATTTCCTTTTAGGTAAGCACTCCTTTTTACAACCAGCATGCACAGAGCATAAAACTGGCTTACCCCACCTCCCTGAAACAATGAAGAGGCTTGGATTTATCACTCCTATGACGCAGGTATGCAAACATTGTGGGTGTCATGAGGCATGGCCACTGAAGTCCCTCCAAACCTTTGGGCTGTTCTCAGAGGTAACATTTGTCAAGTATATTGGGCCTGTTTTTTTCTTTCTTTCTTTTTTTAAAGACTCTGTCTGGTTTAAAATATATATACCAACAAACCAGATATATATCTGAGCAAAAAGGAGAACTCAATTTGTGATGATTCTGGATTATTTTTCCATGAAATTTGTGTCTGAGCAGGGGATATTATTAATACTAAATTTATCTTTAAATTTTGAAATTGGTACATTTCATACCTAATTCTCCTGCTTTGCTAATTTAATAGTGCCTGCCACTTTAGGCAATGAAGGCAAATTGTTTTTCCATTTCTAGCTTCATTTATGTGATTACAGTGCCCTGAAACCAGAGAGCTGTATTGTTGCTTTAATATGAAGGACTGGAGCTGACAGATATCCTGATGCTCACTGATGAAACCAATAACTAATTGTTTCCTGTAAGTGTGCATATAGTATGGGCAGATGTAGATGCCGTCTCAGCGGGGAATGGGCACACGCATGCATACGTGTGTGTTTGGAGGCTAGAAGTTAATCTCAGCTGCTGTTCCTCAGGATCCTTCCACCATGTTTTTTGAGGCAGGCTCTCTCAGCTGAACCTGAGGCTTGCGGAATAGGCTAGGCTGGCTGGCTTGGTAATCCACCTGTCTCAGCCTCCTCGGTGCTGAGATCATGAGCATGCATCACCAGGGTGAGCTTTGTCACTTGAGTGCTGAGGCTCAAACTCCAATCCTCCTGCTGGCCCTACAAACACTTCACCAACTGCATTACTCCTCCAGCACCTTACTGCTTGCTTTTAAGGTGTATAAAGGTGCTTCAAGAGGGGAGCTGAATTCAAATCAGGTTCGTTCAGTTCGTGGAAAAATATTAATACTTAGGCCATTACATGTAATGATGTTGCTCATGTCATGATGTAATGATGTTGTATTTAGATTATTATCCATGAAAGACTACATTGAAATCAACCTCAATTTGTGGAGAATATACACTAATCATATTTATTCTGTCACATCCAAAGTGCTCTCAATGTTCATCTATAATAAATATGCTTTCAAACTAATGTACATGAAAGAAAAATGTTCAAACACAGGATTTCCAATGGACTGATGTGCTTCCCACACACCCAAGCCATCCTTTAGTATAACCATGCAAATCAGAGAATTTACAAATATTTCTGTATTTTTCCATTGTTTTTAAGTCTTTAGATACTTGTGAGTTTCAGCTATGGCTTACTTTAAATTTTGTTTTGTAATAAATATAGACTATTATTTATGTAAGATTTCTTTAATACAAAAAAAGGAAATGTTTTAGAAACTTTCTGCATTCTAGAAGGGAATGGGATTAGCTGTAGACCCCTACAGAGTTAAAGCTAGCCCAGAAGCAAAGAAAGGCATAGCATGTCACAGGGAGTTTCAGGAGACAGTTAGTCACCCTGTCATGTTTGGGTGTGCTAGACATTTTCATTAACACCATCAAGACCAAAACTGTATTAAAACAACCTCAGCTTTAAGAAATGGAATTAGAAGGGACAGGGCTCATCTTTTCACCTATGCGTACACTGTACACAGTCAGGATACAAAGTTCAGAAGACACTGTTGCTGTGTATTAGCCAGTGACTTTCTTATGTTCTCATCCCCATAGGTCCCTGCTTGTCCCGAGCCATCTGACTGTTCATTAACATTGTCCTGGAAGAGGAGGGGTCAAAGAAGAGGAGGGAGGGGAGACTAAACAATCAACTTTGTTATTATTTTTTCTTGTATTTATTAAAGATGACCAAGAGATTGGAGATACCTTTGAAGAATGAAGTGTGGATTTTACAATATAGGTGTGGTTTAGCAATCTATGCTGAGAACTAATCCGAAGGTGGTCAGGTGACCTCAGACCTCTGGAGCACAGGTTAGCACTGTTGCTAGGCTCAGTGACTCTAGGGTTGGACTTCTGGTCTTCAGGGCCTGCTGTATGCAGAACTGCCTCTAGGAAAGAAAATAAGAATAATTTATAGTTTAGGGGAGTTTAAATTAATGTTTATTTTGTGCAACCAGCTCTAAAATTATCTTTTCAGGATATATGCCAAAAGACAACTTGCTGCACATTTACAATTTTAAAATTTGTCCACAAGTTTAACTCAAATAAAGAACGCGCGCGCGCGCGCACACACACACACACACACACACACACACACACACACGTATACAAGTTTAACTTAAAGAACGAATATATAACGATAGATAAGTCTAAGATAAATAGAAGATGCTGGAAGAAGTCCAACTTAAAATCAAGGAGTACAGTCAAGAAGTTCTAAAGCCTGAAGGTCTGATTCTTTCTTTCACAGACCCCTCTTTATTTTCTTTTCAGAGACACCTCAGCAGCATCCTCCAGTCCCTCTAGAAATGCCCAGTTGTTTTCTCCGTGTCAGAAAAGCTGAAAGTAATAAAGGAACATTGGTTTGAAAGTTGGGGATTAAGGGGTAGGTGATTAATTCGTCCATGGAGGGCAAAAGGGAATCCAAGCCATCTTTTAAGAAAGATTCTTTTAGGGCTTCTACGAGTGAGGGAACCAGATAGTACCACTTTAAGTATTTGACAAGGAACAACTCTCTGGAGAGACACTTTTTTAAGTTTAGGAATAAAAGCAAAAGGCAAAAGTTATCCCCCTGCAGATTGCTTCGCATTTGGGGGAGGGGAGTTTAACCGCAGATGATGGCTCCCAAGCCTGGGCTGTCCTTGTTGGAGGGCATGACGCGCCATAGATTTTTATTTTCACAAAACACACTCCCAGAGGCTTGTGGCCTTCCAGACAGCAGCTGGCGCCGGGCAGAGGCATAGCCTCCGGCCGGAGAAGCTACTGCCTACCGCTCGCTCTGCTCGCTCCGTTCTGCTCTTGGCTGAGCATCCCTGGCAGCGCGGGCTAGTTCCACAGCCTAAGCTTCCCGATTTGAGCAGACGCTGTTCCCTTCTGGAAGGACCACGGGGGCTAGCAACTGGAGGTTGCTCTGCGGATTTTAGGCACTCAGAGCTGGTTTGAAGGAAGGAGGGACTAGGTTTGGAGAAGAGCCGGCGCCTCTTAAAACTCTTGGTGCCTAAAATGTGTGAGACGGTGGCCAAATAGAGCGGAGGGAGATTATCTCATTTTGAATATCCAGGACTTCTAGATGCGCCAGCGATGTGTACAGCAACTGTCGATTTGGCAGCAGACTGGACTCGGTCAATTGCAATTCCTTTCCTACTTCAAGCTTACCTCCCCCAGAGCTGTGCTCAGATTGTCCTCACAGCCTCCAGGTGGGAGGGAGCTGAGCGAGAGGGAATCAAAAGTCAGCTTCCTTTTGCTCTCCGCTGGTGGCAGATGCGCAGCTGGTTGGTCCTAAGCAGGTTAGTGTTGGAGGGGGAAAGCCGGCACTGCTTAGCATCTTTGCTGGCTTGGGGCGGAGGATGCTCAAAGGATTTGGAGGAAGAGGTTGGGAGTAGAGTTGTGTGGATTATTGGTGGAAGAACATGATATGAGGTGCCAGATGCTTCCCCAGCCACCGCCCAGCGCCCCTTGGAGAAGAGAGGGTGAAGAGGGCGTGGGGGCGGGGGCCGCCCTGCAGCGCAAGGAGCGCGTGGTGGCCAGGGGGCTGTCTCTTTAAGCGCTCTGGAGGGGCTGGGGCCAGAGGGCGGCGAGCGCGTTGCCATGGCACCAGGGCTGCGGGGGCTGCAGGACCGCTATGCTCGCTGGTCTCTAGTTGTCTCGGGTAATGCAGGGGCTGTGCAGCTCTTGGGCTACAGCGCCTGGGGTTGGCTTGGCCGGCCACAACTAGCGCTCGCTCGCTGTTGCCTATATCGCCTGCTGGGGTCGAGCTGCTGCCGCGCCCTGCGCAGCAAGACGCACATCGCGGTCCTCGAGAGCGAGCCGGCACTAGCAACTTCTGCCTGGCGAGCCCAACTTCAGCGCGCGATTCGGACTTGAAGATTCCGCGATTCGGACTTGAAGATTCCGAGCGGCGCACCGCGCGCAGTTGGGGCGGTGGCCCCGCTGGCTCAGCATCACTGAGATGACCTCCCCACTGTGGTTCTGGTGCTTCTGCCTCTGGGCGGCCGACCACTGGCCACCAGGAAGCGCCCTGCAGCTCCAGCCCGGCATGTAAGTGGAGCCCAACAGCTCTGAAAGCTAGCTTAGGTCTGTGCGCCCCCGTCCTACTCTACACCAAGGTCTCTCTGGGAAGCAATGGAGGGATGGGGTGCTGCGATGCACTAGGCGTGAGAACTTGAGGATGTCCCTAACTGGGTACTGGCGGGAACGTTATCATAGACTAGACCTCAGGGAGCGCCACCGCCCAGCAGAACTAGTGCTACTGAGTGGACCCTGATATTTCAACCTAATATTTTCCAAGAACCTGACGGACGCCCCCCCTTCCCGAGTTTGAGTGTATATTTTCATATTTGGGGAGTAACTGCCCACTCTCTACAAGGCTTTTGCATGAAACCCCGTCGAAAGGGAATTATCTTGACTTTTTAAAAAAAAGAATCTAAGTGTTTCTGCACATTCCCCCCGCTTTGGGGGAGATATGATGAAGTCCAAAGAATGGGTTATTTCAAGGATCTGATGAGATAGGCGAGGAGCCAGTAATGCTTGTGTCAGCGGCTGAGGAGAGGCACTTGTGTGCTTAGGAGGAAGGGGCACGGGGGGGGGGGGGGGGATTCCTTCTTCCTTAGAAGTAAGACCGGGGAAATGTCTGTTCTTGGTCACCATGTGGAGCGCTGGGAGTTCTGAGAAGTCCTACAGCCTGGTCTACTTAACTGGCTGGAGAAGTTTTTGCTAGGTCTTACGTTATATCAGTCTACTGGAGAATGCCGGCTCTGACTCTGCTTTTCCCCTTCTGCTCTTGGGCAGCTATGAGCAGACAGCAGAGCCCTTGGAACGTTTCTGCATGCCCTCTTCTTTGCTTTTCTGAAATAGGAATTAATACACAATAAAAAAGTGGTTTAGAGAAAAGCCACTCATACCTTTCCCCAGCCTTACTTCTTCCTGTAAGAAAAATACCGTTTGGGGGTTCACGTTACCTTTCAGTACTTCATCCTCTGTGAAATTCAGTCTGCTGCCTGGTTACTGCACAGGTCATGAACTATGAACAGGGCCAGGGTGACACTGTATTTCACAACTTTGACTACATAGTGGCCAAATGTGTATTCTTCTGAAATTCGAGGAATTGCTGTAAGTTTGATTTCTCTGGAATTGGTAAGATTTGCATTGTTTACTTTGAAGAGGTGAATTTAGACTCTTTCTTTTATCTCGGAAAACATCACTCTGGGTAGCCTGTGCCTGTGAAAGCCTTTATCTTATAATGCTTTAGAGCAAAGTCGCTTTAGTGGTAATACTGTTAAAGTGAACCCTGGGTTTCCTTGTCTCATTTACCCATGAACACTGGACTGAACAACCCCGGTGGGAAGACACACTCCACTCTTACATGACAGTGTTCATCTCCTTTCATTGTTGACTCTTTGGCCTAGAATGATGATATTGCAATAAAAAAAAAAGAATTGTAGCTGTATTTATATATCAGATGAAGTGAAGTCAGATATTAAAACTAATATAAATTCTTGAAAGATTTAATAGAGATGTGTTTTTCAAGGAACTGCTAAAGTCACTCTGATGACTTTTAGTTATTTATGGTAGGGGAAGTCCTGTCATTTGTTTGTAGTTCTCTCTGGTGCTGGAGTTCACACATCAGGACCACAGTGGGATCCATTGCCAGGCTTTTTTGCAATTCTTGGCATGTAGAATACACATATAGCACTTGACTACCACACACCTGCCTATTTGTTAAATGCAAGAGAATTCTTCCTGAGATTGTCATTGACATCTGAGGTCTATTACTCCTGGATATAGGCTTTTGATGAATTAAAGACCGCTGATGAAAGTATGCCATCCGATTGACCCACACTTACAGGTCATCAGTGTAGTGAATGTAGTGAATCAAATTATGTGTAGCTTGTCTTAGAAGATCAAGTGAAAATGAGCAGCTCACCAAGAGTCAGATTTACATACATGTCACATTTATGATTGTATTTCTTAGAAGGGAAACTCATTTAGAAAATTTATTAATGAGACAAAAGATGTGTGCCATGGATTTCCCCATTCTCATGATGATTGATCGGTCTGATGATTTTGTTTGATCACAATTTGGAAGCTTTGGATGACTAATGTGAGACTGATTCAGAAAATCAGCACTCCACTGAAGGACTCATTGTGTGAGTAGTTATCACAAACCACAGCTGGCAGTTAACTCCCTTAGATTCCTACTTAGACACCAGACGACTCTTAACTACTTTGCAGTTACCAGTGTCATGAGTGAGATGGACAGTTCTTTCGTGCCCATGAGGGGGAAGAGATATGGCTGAGTTGAGATTTTCATTGCCAGATCTGAACCCAGATGTTTTCACTGCAGAGCTAGGGCTCTTCCTCGCCTTTCTTCTTTTTCTTTCTGTTTTTTGACAAGGAGTCACATGCAGCCCTTGCTAGACTTGATCTCACCCACTATGTAGCTGAAAATGTCCTTGAACTTCCGATTCTCCTGCCTCTACCTCCTAAGTACTGAGATTACAAGCATGCCTCTACCACTACACCATACTTAGTTCCAGAGTTGGGGTTTAACTATTCCAGAACATCCAGGCCCAGGCTGTTTTTTATGAAGTTTGTTTTAATTTTTCTATGTCTTCTGAGTGGGATCGAAGCTGATATTTTCAATCTAGGGGATGTCAAGACACTTTGGGCACCTCTTCTGGGTTGCAACAACTCTGGGTTCGGTGGGCATCAGTGCTCCGTTTGAGTGCCAATTGTCCTGATGTATGTGATAGAACTTACCAGGAAGTTCTGAATTCTCTTTGCTTACTGAAGACTTTCCATGAGAAATTCCCAACTGCTGCTTAGTGATGGCCTTAAGGCTTTCTGTTTGTTTGTTTGATAGACTAATCATGCTACAAACTTGGCCGGCCTTGAAATCTCAGTAATCCTCCTGCCTCAGCCTTATGAGTGCTGACATTTTGATAAGGGGATATTGATGAGTTTACTTATGTTAATGGTACTCTAAACATGCAGGATTAAACAGGAGGAGTAGATAAACTCTACCCAGATCTTTGAAACTTCAAAGGGCAGTTATATTAAAATATAGCCTTTGTGATGTACTTTTGTGAACACTTGCATAACAGTGAGATGAAAATAGTGAACATGGAGGTGTAATGAGTCTTTCTCTGTCCCACCAGCCAGCTCCCAAATAATGGCATGGAGACTTCTTATTAATTATGAAAGCTCAGCCTTAGCTTAGGCTTGTCCCACTAGCTCTTACAACTTAAATTAACCTGCTTTTATTAATCTATGTTTTGCCATGTGGCTTTTTACCTTTCTTTTATTCTGTATGTCCAGTTCCCCACGTTTCCATAGCATCTGTCTCCCAAAAAGCACTAAGTCCATCAAAACAGAGAAAGCCTCGACACTCAAAGTCCCTTTCCACCACTTCCATGGTCTCTGTCTTTTCCAGGTGCCTTCTGGTGCTGTGATTACTTTCTGTCAACTAGTTGCTATCTTAGCCATCTGACCTAAAGTTAATTTTATTTAATTAATGCAAATGCAAACTCAGGGTTCACAGTGTGATCAAATATCCCCCAACATGGAGGTACTGTAGAGATCAGGACTGAATTAAGATAGAGCTAGCCAAAGCAGGCAGTGGTGGCACACGCCTTTAATCCTAGCACTTGGGAGGCAGAGCCAGGTGAATCTTTGTGAGTTCAAGGCCAACCTGGTCTACAGAGTGAGATCCAGGACAGGCACTGAAACTACACAGAGAAACCCTGTCCTGGAAAACAAACAAGCAAACAAACCAACAACAACAACAACAACAACAACAAAAAAAATAGAGCTAGTCACCTAAGTCCTTGGAACTTGGGATATTTATGTTTGTCTAACACCTGGGTGGGGAGACTTTAAAAGGGCAAGGTCAATGTGTGACCAGGCAGTCTCCTAAACTGTATGGGACATCTCACATCCATGCTCTAATATGTGCACCTCACATAGGTATTTCTGGCATAGAATTCAAAACATGGCACTTAGACTTTGCATCCACATGCGTTAGAGGCTTTGCCTGTGCAGTGAGAAAAGACCTACGTAAATAGTAAAGGAAGAAGAGTTTGCCTGGCTCATACTGTCTGAGTTTTCAGTCCATGATTGGTTTGCTTTGCTGTTTATAGGCTGTGGTGAGACAGAACACCATGGCTAACAGTGTGACAGAGCAAAGTCACCCACCTTAGTGTGGACAAGAAGTGGGGTTGGGGGTTGGGGGTTGGGAGGGTGGATGTAGCTGGAGAATTTCTCTCCAGCTCCCACCAAGTCCCGCCAG